CACTTCCTAACACAACTTGGCTATCTAAACAGAACAATTTGGATCAAAATCAGATAAATCTCCAAGTGCATCTGAGCTTAGCAAATAGCAGTGAGAGTTTTTTCACAGACTGTTCTGGGATGGCACAGTAAGGTGCAGAGACTGGAGATGGCCCCATCCTTACAGGTTTCCTGGTACCCCTGCCCTGCGCTTTGTGGCAAGTAGCTGGCCTGTGGCTTGGGGGATGCTGGTGCTGAGGCTGTCTGGAAGGACAGGACCACTGTATGACTAGTGGTTCCACCCCATGTGAGAGCACAAGAGAGGGAAAGATTTCAAAATCGTTATTGTGGTGACTGAATTGATCCAAAAAGGCAATGCAGAGTAAATCAATATTTAATTCAGAAGGAGTCAGTTTCAGTTAGGAAGTCAGGGGAAAGTTTTAAAGAGCAGACAGGGCAGGATGTAAGAACTTGAGAGGTATATTATTACCCCCTTTAGTGGCAAGCAAGGATTGCTGCAGTTTGGCATGAACAATTATTTTTTAAAAAGTGAATACTAAATAAAAATGTATACAGTATTTACCTGCCTATGGTGGCAAGCTTCATATAAAAGCACACATGCTATGCTCTTCATAGTCACAGTCAGGGGAATGTCTCCACACTATCCCAGGGTATGTTCACTCAGCTGAGTTCATTAATATAAAAAAGCTTCCTAGGTGAGGATGAAGGTATGTCGTCATGCAGGTGAAAAGACAATAGCAATAACCAACTGGAAGTGAATCACTGTACTGGAAGATTTGCACACGGCCTTTTTCACAGACATTCCATCACAAAACTATGCTTTTATTGACACGAGATCCAGAACATCCCTGTGAACTAATCCTATCAGATGGAGGGGCAGAATTCCTTGTGCAACAGTCTATCAGAAAGAGCACAAAAACGCAAAGCAAGACGGATACATGGGTCACCATGACCCAGGAGACTGGTTCATCTAGGAGAAAATGACTTATTTGCCCCCAGTGAATCAGCACTTAGTTCAGTATAAGAATATTGGGAATATAGTCCCAGGTCTTCTGTAACCAGGATTTCTTATCAGAAGAAAGACAAGCTGTCAACATACAGGTAATGAAAAGTAAAAGATAAATAAGAACTGCAACCACTTTATACGTCTTTAATGTACTTTGATTTGCTTTTGTTAAATCTTGAAAATTGCTATCTGTGCTTTATTATTTTCCTATCCAGAAACCATCTATTTGGTCCAATTTACCTTCAGTAAGGGGAGAAAGTTTTACACCTCTTTTATTAAGTGCTTGTCCATTTCTATTAACTGCTTCCAAACTGATGATGTAGTGGATTCTAGGTGTGATACTAGAATTTAGGAACATCTATATCATAACAGTTAAGCTACACAAAGGAAAGCTGCCTTTGTTAAAGATTCTCTTTGGGGCACTTGGCCACTAAGCCACATCCCCAGCCCTATTTGGTATTTTATTTAGAGACAGGGTCTCACTGAATTGCTTAGCACCTCGCTTTTGCTGAGGCTGGCTTTGTGAACTCACGATCCTCCTGCCTCAGCCTCTGGAGCTGCTGGGATCTTTAAAGATTCTTCATAAGACTTGAAAGTGGCTCCTATTTAATGTGGAGATATGAATTCTTGGATAGAGCTTATAACATGGGGAAGCAGACTCTCCCACTTTTGCTCAATCTGGAAAAGTGTGAGGATAGCAAGATATAAAAATTATGAACAAGATATTTGCACTCTCTTTTCTAATACTAATGCTTTAAAACTTGCTGTGTATTTTTCACTTACAGCACATCTCAGTTTGGGTATAAAATTTTCATCTGAAATAACTGATTTGGTTTTACCGTTGTAAAATTTGCAGCTGAAAGAGTAGATTTGCATACCCAAGTTATTTCAGATACACCTGCAAGCTTTCCAATAAATGAACTATTGTTCTAAATTTTAAATAAAATAAAATTACAGTGCCTCAGTGGCCACATTTCATGTGTTCAGTAGCCATACATGGTAGTGGCTACCAGATAAACCTCCACTCTGTACCTTTGGTCAGTCCCAGTAAGAATTCCCCAGGTGAGGAAGACTGTCCCCAGTCCACTCAGGAAGAAAACCCACCAACTCCTAAGGATGTGCTCTTCTGACAAGGGAGTACCCCTTGCAGGGTCACCTTCAGTCTATTCAAATTATCTTCTCAGATTCCAAACTAACAAAAATATAAAAATCTGTTGTAAAAGAAAGCTCAACAAGCTAAAGGTCAAACTCTAGGGATTTTAAAACTGTGGACATTTTTTTGAGCCCAATTCTCTGCCTCCTTTCTTGGGTCCAAATTTACAAGCACATTTATTGAGATTCACTAGGTGTTAGTTTCCTGTGCCTTACTCTCCATACATCATTGACTCTCCTAGCAAGCCTGTGAAATAGGTGAAAGCCAGAGAGGGTGTCAATCACTTGTTCAAGGTCACACACCTAATTATAGGGGGTAGAGCAGGAATTTAAGCTCAGAAAGTCTGACTAGGTTTAAAAAAAAAAAAAAAAAGCCTGGCAGTACTGCCAGTATAAGTTCCCTTAAACTAACCACACACCCAAACTCCCATTTTTAAAAACCTTCCTACAATTTTCACTGAGCAGGCAGGCAGAACAGAGCAGGTATTGCCTTGCCATTTTTCCAAATGAGGCACAGGAGGGGAGATGTTTGCCCTACGAGGCACGATGATGAGTGCCTGGAAGAGCAGTTTCTCAGACTTTCTATCCAGTGACCTCTCCATCAGACCCATGTCAGGGAGCCAACCAGGGGAGACTTGTTGACTATCTAACACTACATACTGTCCCTCTTACCTCAATCAATCTTCCAAACCACCCAAGAAGGAAGAGATCATCCACAGGTAAAGAGATCTGGAGTGCCATGGAGTACAGACAACTGACACCACACAGCCAGCTGAGATCCCAGGCCAAGTGTGTGTCCAATAGAGGGGGATGCCTCCCTAGGATTGCCAGATGTCAAGGGTTTCCTTAAACTGCAATCCAGAGGACACTTTCATCATATTAATGCAATGTAAACAATAGGAAATTGTCTGTAATTCAGATGCCATTAATGCAGAATGTAAGAACAAGAGTGCCTGTCTGGCCTGATAATAAAGTCTGTATAGGATAAATTCACAACTTAAAACATAACAATACAAGAAACAGAAGAAGCTGGTTTTATGGGACTAATTCTTCAGAGAGGAGGACTTAAGGGAGATTTAGACTTGGCTGCTGAAGGTGCTGCAAAATGTAAGGACTTTTCTCCAGAGCAGGGTCAAACAGGGTGACCACCTAGGATGGGCAGACTCGACCATCGCCAGCATACATGCGGAACACAGGTTCACTTAACTTGGGTGCCCAAGTTAAGAAAACAGGCAAGGTGGCTGTTACTCCTGTTCCCAGCCAAGTGACAGTGCCTCTGAATGAAAATACACTCACTCCCCTCAGCACAAACCTGTCTCTGTTGAGAATATCTGTACTCATGGAACAATGTGAGCAAAAAATGCGCTGACAGGCACCTGGAAATTCTGGAGCTGAACAACGCATGGCAAAGTCATGGCTGGCCAAATTTTAAACAGGTTTATGAATACTTGGTTCAAAAAAAATCACATGTAAAAAAAATTCCCTTATTTTTAACATACAGGAAAAGATGTGCATTGTTATTGATAATCTTTAGTAATAGGAAACCAGCTTCTCCCATCCCCACTAAATAAATATAAAGTAGATATTTAAAGATCATCAGTTGGATATAGTACCAACAATTAGCCTGCTCAGGACATCACTGGTCTCATGTCAGCCCTCATCTTCCTATGAGAATGAATTCAGCTCTAACCATTTCATAACTCACAAGAGTTTACAGAATAAAAAGTCCCAAGCTTCCTAACCTAACGAGCCTAGTTTTTAGAACATTGTAGTAACACTCGAGAAATCAATAACCCAAAACGTGACAAAACAGCACATTTTCCTTCCCCAAAATCAGTAAGTCAAAAAGATGGCCTTTCTACAAATGAGAGATGACTCTGTAAAATCCTCTGCACAGTTGCTGGCCCTCCTGGAGAGACTTTTTTTTTTTTTTTTTTAACCTAGTCAGACTTTCTGGGCTTAAATTCCTGCTCTACCCCTATAATTAAGTGTGTGACCTTGAACAAGTTATTGACACCCTCTCTGGCTTTCACCTACTTCACAGGGTTGCTAGGAGAGTCAATGATGTAAGGAGAGTAGGGCACAGGAAACAGTTGGTCCAGAATCCACACATATCCGGGGTCCTTTGACTTAAGCTCATCCCCGTGGGTGAACGAGGCCTCTAGAGGCCCTGGTTGAACAGGCTTTTGAGAAACAGACCTGGATCACATTCTTTAGGGACAATTATTTAACTACCCATTGTCTTGATTTGCACTAAAGTGTGTATATAGCCAGATGATTACTCAACCCTTATTACTAGTGTTTTCCAAAAGCAACTTATAAATTAAAATCTATTCAGTTAATACAAAACACCTCGTGATTAACTTTTTCTAACTTTCATTTTGGCAATCCTTCTGCATGAAAACTATCAACAAGTAATAAAATTGGGTAATTTGAACTGGCCTTTCCTATTTCCCCTTTCTGAGAAATATGATGACCAATGGTAAAACGGTCCCAGAAGAAGTTCAAAAGGAAAGACAACTTAAATTCTACGAAGGCCATTTTTGAGAGCTCTGAAACCTCTTCATAAATGGTGACAAAACAATGTCAGAATTGAAGCACAGAAATTATAGCATTAAATTCAATACCATATTCAATACCATTCATGCAACTTCACTGGGTCCTTTATAGCCCTGATGCATGCACATGCAAAAGGAGTTTCTAACCTAAATATATGAGTGCTTATCACATAGGGTCCAAAAATTTGAAACTTGGCATCTTTCTCAAGTAGGAAGTTGCCACCCACCTGGAAAGTGTTTCCAAACAATCACCAACAATGAGGATGTCTGATTTTATTGACTTACGTATTTATAGTTTTGCAGGAATACAGGGAGGTCTCAATGAACAACTTCAGAAAAATGCCACCTAGAGGAAAAATTGAATGAAAGGTTAATTTAAAAAAAAGAAAAAAGCACACAAAAACAACTTACCATGCAGTTTTATGTTTATTAAAATAAAATATGTGATGTTTCTTCAAATATTGGTTCTCACACTAATAGTTCAATTTGCCTTAGAATATAGCCACTGCTTTCTGGGTACAGTGAGGAACTAAAATGCAAGGAAAGAAAAAACAAAAAGAAAACTGAAAAAATCCCAAAATATCTCTTCAGCAGTGCTTTGAAATTTTAAAAATAAATAGAACAAATTTCTGATATAAGATACTATAGTTAGTATTTGTTGAAAATTTATTATACATCTTGGACTGTTTTAGGTTTCACAATACAACCTTTCCAGACAAGCACTGTGTCCACTGACAGATGAGGACCTTCCCCAATATCACAAAGATCCAAGGTTTCCGAATCATGCCCTTTCTCTCCTACTGCGTGGTATTGCTCAAGAGCACTTTCTACTTTATCAAGTGTAAGCCATTACCTCCCCAAATACCCACATGCACATTTTCTATAATCAAACTTTCAAATGATGCCGACAATGAAAATAAGTTAAGAGCAAGCTATAAGTAACCACATTTTTTTCCTGATAAATTAGCATTGGTGCTACTGATATTAAACTAACTGTTCCTGAGGTTGAGAAGCACACTACATGGCTCAAAGGCTCCTCAATCTAAAGAAACCATAACACTTTTGAAATAACTTGAAGATATTGCACAAAAGTCACTGGGTTTCACTTTCTCAAAAATAAAAAATAAATACCTAAAAAATATAAATTCTGAACACATAAAATCCTTTGTTATAATAGCTCAGAGAAACTATAATTTTTTTTTCTTAAATGGTTCTTTGCTGGCTAAATTCTAAGCATTTCTCACAATTTCATGACCAATATTTTTATCTGGACATGGCTTCTGTGAAATCACTAGGATTATTATGAATGGGTCTGTTATAAATGGAGTTCTTGATCAACATTTCATTGCTCCCAAAATGAGTCACAGAAATTCTTGAATCTTACTACTGTTCAAAATCAAAGATAACATTTAAAAGAATTGTTTTTTTCTTTGTACACACACCATGAGCAAAGCTCCCGACAAAGATTTCAAAACCCTAGCAATAACAAAGAAGGCAGGGTGGCATACTGATTCCTACTTAAAGTTTTCCAAACTCATATGGATGTTAAAAGCATTTCCTAGAATAAATAAATTTGACCCACAAGCTCTGAAGAAAAAAGACACTTAGAAATAAGTTCTTTGTATCAGGATTAAGCTTTTTTGACAAAGAAGTCAAATCTTGTGACACTATCACAGCAATATGAAAGATTAAACCAGCCAGTTCTTTTACTGAATTTGGTTGGCAAATAGTGTGTTATTTTTATATTCTTTAAAAAAATATGCCATTTCTGGGCTTGGGGCTGTAGCTCAGTGGCAGAGCACTTGCCTAGCATGCGTGAGGCACTGGGCTCGATCTTCAGCACCACATAAAGATAAACAAATACATAAAATAAAGGCATTCTGTCTGTCTACAACTACAACTTAAAAAATAATATGCCATTTCCAGTATGGAGATTCCTCAAAAAAATAGGGATGGAATCATCATATGACTCAGCTATCCCATTCCTTGGTATTTTCTCCAAAGATTTAAAATTTCCATACTATAGCAATCCTGCCACCTTAATGTTTATAGCAGCACAATTCACAACAGCTAAATCATACAAGCCACAATTTCTTAATCCATTCATCTACTGACAGGCATCTGGGTTGATTTCATTAAACACACACAGAGACACATATATAAACACTATATACACACACACACATATACACACACACAAATATATACATAAATATGTATATATATATAAATACGCACACACTGGAGTTCTACTCCACCATAAAAAAGAATGAAATCATGTCATTTGCCTGGAAATGGAGAATACCACGCTAGGTGAAAATAAGCCAAACTCAGAAACTCAAAAGGTTGAATGTTTTAGTAAAACAAAGGAAAGGGGGGAAAAGATAGGATATAATAAAGGTAAAGGGAAGACCAGTAATGTAGAAGGAGATGGAGCAGCAGAGTGGAGGGATGTGTAATGGGAGGCAATGCAGAATAAATTCTTAAAAAATCGTGTTATATGCATATGTAAATATACCACAGAGAACTTCACCTTTATGCATAAGGAAAAAGAACCAATCAAATATAAATAAATAGTTGAGCAAAACAAAGTCTAGTAGAGAAGAAGAAAGAGAATGAGGAAGTTGAGGGAAGAGGAAAATGGGGAAGGAAGAGCTAAAATTGAATTCCATGCATGTATGAGTTTGATGGGATAAACTCACAAAAACCCTAAGGTGGGTACTAGTATTATCCCCATCTTAAAGAAGCAGGCACCGAGATGTTTAAAGAACTCTCCAAAAATTACAAGACTCAGAAGAAGTAGTTAAGATCCAATCCACACACATGATCACACTTAATCCTAATAATGATAAAATGCAGGCAGGGGGAGAGGTTTTTAGTTTCATTTTAAATTTGAGGAAAACTGTAATTCTGAGGAGTTCGGACTGACTTCTGCAAAGTCACACTGCAATTCAGGAACAAAGGTCAAGAACAGAACCTGGCACATCTCACTTCAAGTCTAGTACTGCTTCTAAATTTATGGATTTGGGGGTTAGATTCTATATGTAACTCAAGAGTGTGTGGTACCTTTAATCCCTGAGAAGACACTTCTGAATTGTCTTGACACGTTGAAGCAACTACAAGAACATTAAGTGTAGCTCACACTGAGTTACTAATGTTGCCATGTCGCTATTTCCCATTTTTCATGAAATTATGTTTTTTCACTTAATGGTTATCAAATATACAGGTTTATATAGAAATTGGAAATATTGGTCCTCATTTATTACCGTTTCACCTTCATTTTTGTATGTTATTGCTCTGTGTTGCCATTTAAATTATTTATAGCCCAATAAACGCAGGCATTGTTTATTCCAGCAAACTTCTAAGTAAAATTAAAACCACTGTGTTTCTGCACATTAAGGAGTTAATAAGTTTTTACATCCCATTCATCTCCATTTGGGTTGCATGCCCTCCTCTTCCACTTCCGGAGACCAGGGGAAGAAACAATAGCTGCCTTTTGAGCCTAAGCACAGCACCCATGTGACAGGCACTGGCACTTATTTATTGAATTGAGTTGTGGAAAAACAGGAAGCAGAGTTGTAAGACCCCTTTCTCAGTTACAAATTTCCAAGACTTGAAATGTCCCAATTTGAATCGTTTCATGTTACTCAGTAAAACCAGAACCAAGGAATGAAAATGACTTTGGAAGTTACAAGGGTAAATCTCAGCCTAATGAAAAAAGAATTTTGTAATAAACAGAGTTGTCCCCACAGTGGTCCAGAAGTCTCAGTAACTGTACTCAAACAGGAAGAATGCTTTCTTGAACCCAAGGTGGCTCCCTACATCCATCCATGGCAAACATGGGAGTTCCATGGAAGAGCACAGTGTGTTATGTGGCACTTTTCAATTCATTTCTCAATAGAACCCACTATGAGTAGAAAGTGGATGGAGCATGGGTGGGGACAGACATCATTATTATTCCCATTTTGGGGGGTTAGAAATTTAAGCAACTTAGGCTAAATCACACAACTAGTAAAAGCAAGAAGTCGGGCCTCAATCCAGGACTTCTGACTCTAAAGGTCAGTGCATTTCCAGCGAGGCTGTTTACCCAACAACCAAGAAATTATGACTTCAACCATTATATTTACTCATTATGGACAGAGGCAGGGATGGGCCCCCATGAAACAAAGCATGGGGGTGAAGAGCAAAGGAGATCGGCTAACAGCAAAATACCTACCTCACCAAGAAGAGCCATTTATATTTTTGGTAGGAAAGTTCTCTAAGGCTCTGTTCACATGGGTCAACTAAAAGAATGATTATCCAAATCCTGCTTTAGTGTGCTTTGTCGATACAATAAACGTTTGGGGAAGTTAGTCCACATTTTAAGGGCAGTTGGAGGCAATTCAATAAACATAAAAAAGCAGTGGCTCGCTTCTGCACCCAAAGCATAAATTATGCCTTAAAGATTAGGCTGGTAGATAGTAAAGGAAAAAGGAAGGGGGTGGGGGTCGCTTGAAATACATTCCCTGGCAACTCTTCCAGGACAATCTCACACTTGAATCTGACAACAGGAGTTTAACACAAATGGGTCAACCATTGAATGATTGCTGAAGCTTGCAAGATTTTCAAGGAAAGACATAAAGGTGTCAAATTTCATGAACCTGTCTACCAAGCACAGAAAGTGGCAGGTTGCCAAAGGCTGGACAGTGCTCACTCATGTGAGATGCTGGGAACTTGAACCTCTACAATGCCTGTCTTCCCACTTAACCACAGTGGTGAATGATTCATTTCAACTTTCCAAAGACCTCATAAACTCTAAGTCAGATGCTGCTAATCATAAAAACTTCCTTTTACTCAATACTGTAATGTTGCATCATTACAGAATCGACATGAAGCTGTCAGAGAATACGTTTTAAATGTAGTATCTGGGTACAAGAGAAGAGCCGATAGATGTGCCAACAAGTCAGATTCAATTATGCTGCATTTCAGTGTGCCAGGTTTGTGCATCAAAACGTTACTATTGTTATTTACATACAGCTGGTACCATGTTCATACACATAAGTGTCACCCCTTCCCCAATATCTAGTTATAAATCTAAGAAATTACAGGCTCCTTGAGAACAAAAGTAATTCTAGCTTACTCCTCTCTACTTCAGTCTCTTGCACATAATAGTGTAGAGCACAGGACACAGAGGTCAGAAAAGTATACTGAATAAACTACAGGTGATCGCAGTAAGAACATTCCCTACAGACTGGCAGAAAAGGCAGACTATGGGAACAAGAGAAATATTGGATTAATAGGAATGGAGAAGATCATTCAGCAAAGATGACAGTGGGAATTCCAGAACAAGAAGAAAGCACAGGAGGT